GACTTTTTCGTGATGTCGGACTGTGTGAGTATCGATTGAAAGGGCGACAATGGTGATGGATTCACACTTTGAGGTGATTATATTTAGACAAGCTTGGTATTTGCGAAGGACAGGATATTTGCATGACAAATCCTTTCATGTCAACATCACCAAATCGAACGCGAAAATGTATTGGAATTTACTGCTAAGACATATATTTTTTACATATTGTGGATCCTTATATTTGCTTAGTAAATATATTGCCTTGTCAGACTCTGCACGTTTTGGTGATGAACTACAAGCCACCGATGCACCGTAGCACCTTCAGTTGCATAGTCTCCTTGCCTAGCGTTGTACTACTTGAGGGTGGCCAGTATTGATAAGATATCGAACCTGGATAGTTTAGATATCACAAAATATGTCACTTCACTTCCTAAAGTAAACTAAAACACCAATTAGCTGAGGCGAAGAAACAGTCGGAGTCTCAACTTGTCTGTCCTAAATTGGTATCACAGGGTCTGCAACTGGCCCCTGATGAGCTGATCTAGCAGTCCGAGTTACAAACAATGGATATCCAGAAAGCCTGCATTATTGCTATCATAATGCAGAACCACAGCACGGGAAACCGCATACGACTGCTTCAGCTTCTGCATCGCGTGGAGAGCATCCATCTCTACTCTCATCCCGGCTTGGACTATTTTCCACGTCTCACGCGATGAGATATCGGACCACCAGCGAGCAGCGTTTGGTGTTGCTGTGAGTCCTACGTATGTGCAGTTATATACTTTTAGTCCTACATGTTCATCTACATACGGTAAAGAAAATATAAAAGGGAAATACTAGATTAAAATAACAAGTTTACATTTAACAAATATGCGTCAAACCTAAAATCAGCTTTAACTGTTGAATTGATAATTTTGTTAACATATGTTTATAACTAATATAAACAAATATATTAAATTCCTAAGAATTCCTTTAACCTCTCCAACATAAAAGAATCATGTGCTTTGTCCATTCGTGCCCACCGCTCTACACCTGGAGCCCACCTTTCATCAATGTTCCAAGATGCTGGATATCTACTCTCCTTGTGTTTGCCAACCCAATCAAAATCGATCAGCATAGCGCCTCCACTTGGTTTGGGGATGATATTTTGGACTTGGAGGTCGCCAAATACGAGGTCTCTGTCGCTAAGCAGCTTGATTGCTCTTTCCACGTCCCTGTAAATCTTCTCACAATCCCGAAACTTCCTTGTAAAGTAGAGTGAGGTGCCTTCAACGTAGTCCATAATGACCATGTACATGCCGCCAACAAGATGAATGCAGCAGTGCAACGTCGGTGCTAATTGCTCTTCAGCAAGCATCTGATGTGCATCCTCATGATAATGCGCAGTGAACTTGACTACAACGTCCACCTCATCGTCAGATCCGTCTCGGCTCATCTTTGCCCGGTAAAGAGCAGATCGCCTCTCTTGTTGTACTTCCTCGTTATCCCCTTCATTCACAAGTTCTCCCATCTGCGATAGCTTGCCAAGATAAGTCAGAGGTGCGATATCTTGACCCTCGGTAGGCAAGGGATTAGGAAACTGGTGTGCAGTAGACACTGTGCGTGGAGCCCACCGAATGTTATGCTCGAGCTTCACGTAGTACTCTCGGAGTTCGGAAGACGCTAGAGACACGGCCATAAAAATGCGACCCAGACGCAAAACCTTTTCAGCTTGCCAAGCATCAAGGTACAATTCCTCAGACAACAATTTGTCGATATAAATTCCATTAGTGAAGATAGCAGTCGATATCTCTAAACGACTACCCATAATACCAAGAAGAACGACTGGGCAGTTCGACCGTTCCACGTATTTTTTGTACTGCAGTATATTTGCGCAACGAAAGATAAGCTTAGCTTAGGATGACATGAATATTCATACTGAAACGGACCTTGTTCTGTGATAAAATTTTGCTATAAGAGATAATTGCCTGAAGAGTTGCGTTGCCTCTGAGACCATCCTCGTTCTTGACTTCCATAACAATACGGACCGCATCGTCCCAAGCGGCATTTGGCTGTGCTGTGCCAGATTCCGTCTTATATCTTGATGATATATTGGTACCAACCAACGTCCCGAAGCGATATCTCAAAGCAAGTTCTCTGTAGTCTTCACTGTCGTATATGTCACAAGATTCGACAATGAACTAGTGACAATTAGAGAGCATATCAGGAGACGGCTCCAGCTCTGCTTGTTTATCAAGGTGCTGCAGGCGGTGTTTAAGCCTGGCGAGGGAATGATTGAATAGTGCGGTTGGTGGTCCATAATTGAAAGCCGGACGATGAATATGCACACCGCGCTTTTCATCGGTACATTGTTTTATTCCATACTCATCGCGGATACCTTGAGACGGGGATGGTAGACGGCGGATTTTGCTAATCTGAGGCATTGTGCGTTCTGATGTATAGCTTTCCAAAACTTGCAAGACGTCAGTTGAATACAGTGTTCGTATAGAGAGCAAAATACGCACCAGAATGGGTCGCAACGATGATGTCTATCTTGTCCTTTTTAGGTGCGGGCCCATTGGCAAAATACTTTGAGAGGTAATAACAAGAGTTCATCCTCTCGCTATCTCGGAGAAGCGACTCCACAGCACGCTCATAGAGTGTCCCGGATGGTCTCAAGTTCAAGTCACGACACTGAATTAACAACGTTAGTCACCAGCACGACGGCAGAGTACCAGGTGGCTGAGAACAACCTTATAAAGATATAGCTCCTCGTTCTCCAGGAGACGCTTGTAATTCTGATTGTTACCAATTGCATCCTCTAGGTCCTGCACATATGCATCCTCGTGTATGAGAAAGGATCGAGGTACCGAGTTGTAATTGTACGGGAAAAAAACCACAAAGCGGTGCTGGTCGGAAGACGTACTGGGGGACATAGCGGATGGGAGACAGCGTGTGTGGTGGCCCAGGGCCAGTCGCGTCGTACTTAACCATATGCGATCACGTGACCGAAACGCATGTTTCGACTAGTACTCTGTAACTTCTGCAGACTGGACTCATACGACCTCCTCACAACATCAAAATGAACCCCTCTTCTCCCCACATGCACGTGCAGTGCGGATGTACGCCGAACTATGTTTATCAAAGAACTCATCCATATCCATACTGGCGTATACATCCTCGGGTACGTCAGTCCCGTCAGCGCCGTCAACAGCAGCGTATAACTCTTTGTCGGTCAGCAAGGCTGGAAGGTGTGCCAGACCTTCCACGCAGAGCCGATTCATTCATCTACGATCGTGCCAGCATTTGCATTCTCAAAGCGGTGTTGCCACATGGGAGTTGGGATCCCACCCTCTTCGTTAATGATAATGAATAAGTCTGGAGAATCAGACCGCCTGACATCCAAGTTCGTGTGCTTATAGTGCGAAAGCAAGTGTTGGCGAGAGACCCTTCGCCGTTGCCGTCAACACAGCAGCAATCTCAAACAGATTCGGTAGCCCCATTGACGATCCCCTCTGCCCGAGATGCGGATTCGAATTGGAAATTGTGGTCTTCGACGAGGACAATGAACCGTTGCTGTCATTGTCGCGCAAATGCCCGAATGGGAAGAGCTTGGCTATCCTCTTCGTCGGTGACTTCCCCGACTCCGGACTCGGGCTGCTGTAGGTAGTGACGGCGGTAGGCGACGTGGATTGGTCATGACCATCACTCGTCTCACACCCAGAGTCAGATCGATCGTTGCTGCCGTGACCTGGCTCTGAACGCGTGCCATTCGCGAGAGGCTGAAGCGCATCAGACAGAGAAGTTGCGTTGATGTCACCATTCTCCCTCGGAATATCCAACTACCCTGCTCTGTAGTAGTCGTCACGCCCATCCTACTTGGTGCGCTACGGTTGCTCCAGGGACTCTCGGAACGCAGCGGGTCACGTGGTGGAACAAGCGTACTCAGGCTGCCAATCGACCGCAGCTCGATGTACGAAGAAGATTCGGTTAAGCTCGATCCCGATCCGGCGTCCAAAGACGAAGAGGTCGTTGTCAACACGGCATTGGTACTCCCGTTCGCAGTCGGCGTCCCTGTTCGTGCTCGTACGAATCGTTCCGCAATCGGCAGGATCATCGGTAGTGGCGGGCAGTGGAAGCGGGGTCTCGGCCTCCTGATCTCTATCCTTGCCTTCTCGGGAAACAGACTGCCCTATCAACCGGAACAACGGCTTCTTCGTCGGTGTATGCGTATTTCGCATCGCCTTCTTCCGGACTCCCCGCCCGGCTCTTCTTCCCTTTTTTCCTTCGTCTTGGCCTTTTTCTTCGTGCGCCCGAGCTTTTCCGTCGCTCCAGAAGAAGCCAAGCTAAGGAGACCGAGTGCGGCCTTGGTAATACAGAGACGTCGGACTATGCGAGTATCGATTGAAAGAGCGATGGCGATGATGGATTCACACTTTGAGATGAATATAATTAGACAAGCTTGGTATTTGCGAAGGACAGGGTATTTGCATGACAAATCCTTTCATGTCAACTACAAGCCACTGTAGCACCCTCTGTCAGCGACAGTATAGAGGGGACCCGAAGGCTCAGCAAGGGGACCCAGGCTACAACTATTCTACACAACAGAAATACAGAATGTGAGTACTAGAACATAGTCAGAACTTGTAGAACAGATGTAGAGAGAGAGTGAGACAAGAGTAGAGTATATAGAGTAAGCCTAAGAGTACAGGACTACCTAGAGTAGACAAGATCAAGACTACAGGACTAGTCTGTGTCAGCAACAGTATAGAGGGGACCTGAAGGCTTAGTAAGGGGACTCAGGCTACAACTATCCTACACAACAGAAATACAGAATGTGAGTACTAGAAT